ACCACTTATGAAGCAAAATTTATTGTACTGGGTAGTGGGCAGCCCTCACCTTTGCATGAGTACAGGTCTCAGAGCAAAACCCAGACTTTGCTTTTTTAGGTTAAAGCCACATATCGTTGCCTATGCAAGCAGCTGAGTCTAATTTCACTTTACACCAAGCAGACCAAAAATACCATTTGAAAGGTGACAGGTCAGTGCATTAAGCAATTGCATCACTGGTGGGGTTAAGGTGGATAAACTATGTAACACTAGAATCTGACACTAAAACCCACCAGCTGGATCAAGGACATTTCTATCAATTCTGGCTCATTAGATGTAGGACAACAGGGTCAGCTATGTTAAATTTAATCACAGGGCTTCCTAGAGGGTCTGGTAAATGTGCTGGCTAATTTTTCATACCATATTCTACATAATATATCACCCACAGCCTGAGAGGTAGCTTGCTTGTGTTTAAAGTATCCACTCTACTTAAGACCAGCTAAGATAAATCTCTATTGTTTTTCAACCAGGATGAGCCAAATTAATCACAAGCATTTGCCTCCTTCCTCCCCTATTAAACCAGAGGGGTTGTAGTTCATGTATGTTAGCACTCAGTTTGGCATCATCTTTTGAATGGAAAAATAAACTGAGCTGTCTATTCTAAATTTAATAAATAAGCAAACAAGATTTTTCTTTGCTGTAGGTACAGAGCCCATGTCCGGAATGGAGAAGGCTAATTAGTTTTAAACTCTCTGGGAAAAACAGTGTCTTTTTGTACTCTGTTTGCAAGGTCCCTAACACAGCGGGGGGCTGTTCTGTTACTACAACTTCCACGCACTGCAGTAACAAAAATAATAATACTGTGGAAGTTATTTAACATTGAGTCTTCTCGGGTGAACTCCATCTCGCCTCTGGAAGATCCACTGTCCCTCACAGAACAGTGCCACTCATGAAGAATGGTATGAACAACTTTTATGCTACTGATACAGCTCCTCTGATGCACAGCATTTTACAATAATTAGTATAAAAACTAGTGTGATAAAGCAACAATAGGTAGTACCCTCCCTTCCTTCTGCTGCCAATATGCTTCCTCAAAGCAGGCTCCACATGGTTCCACTGGAGGAACAAGATACTGCATGTGCTGTGGTGCCAGACCAAAAAGAAAAAGACAACGGGCTGTGCTGGTTAGGGGTGTCATGGGAAGCAGTTAGTAGGGGCCAAGTGGGAGGTGTGAGCTCCACATTTGAGAGGCTAATCATTGCTGTGAACTGTGTGGCAGATGAAAATTTGAGCACCCTCGGCTGCCAAAGGGTGGTTCTGGCACCCCATGTGGGAATAAAAACCCAAAAATAAGGAAAGGCCCACAAAAAAAAAGTGGGACTTCTGGCTCCTGAACATTACTGTTGCATCTGAGTTTCATGAGTAACCTGGTTCTAGGAAGCCTCTCTCACAATCTTCAGTGGCCTCCTTAAACCCAAAGGATAATTAATTTTCATCACCTTCAACCTCCTCCTCTTCCTTTTACAACAAAAAGAAGTAAAACTAAGGGTAAATGAAAGGTTGCCAATTATCTGCTTTAGGCACATCCAGTCTATTGAAAGGTCCAGGTCATGAAGCACTCATGAAAAAGGCATTGCCTTGCCAATTCCATGTAACAAACTTGATCTAGAGATGACATGACTCCTCACTCCTCTTGTCTCCAGGCTACCGATTCTGTAAGTTTTATCAAAGGTACTCAAAAATAAGGAATGATAATGTATTAAAACAATCAACTGATTGCACTGAATGCTTGCATTTCAGTCGGGATTCATTTGGAAAATGTTAAGACAGAAGCTCAGTATTATTTATCTGAAGCAAGAAGAAAAAAAGGACAAAATGCACCATAAACCAGAGAGAAAAGAAGAAGCGGCTGTAGAATAAGCCTACATAATACCTATAATTCTTATGTATTTGTGAAAGGGGCAGATCCCTTAGTGCAGTGAAGCAGGTCTAAGCTAGGTTGTAGGTAATGCCTCTAAACTACTTATTCTCTTGGGAAGTATTGTGAAGACTCTAGAGAGACTTCTGCAATGGCAGGAGATGCCAGATGACACCACACTATGCCTAAGCCTCAGAAGGCTACAATTTAATGCTAAGTGATGGCTTAGAACCAAATTGCATTCAGGTTGCTTTATCTTCAGAGGGTTCACAGTAGTCTAGTTGGATATCATGACACTGGAGAAGTACCAGCTATTGAAAAGTCAAGCTCAGTTATCAGCAAAGGTATCTGAGATACTATAATTATTACCCCATAATTAATTGTACATTTTAGATACTCTGGCACAGTAACTAGCAGTTAGGTAGTTTCTTATGAGTGACAATTTTTCAGTAGCAGCGGGTGAGATTTGAAGCCTGACTATGCCCTGCTCTGCAATTTGCTGAATTATATACACCAGGTTAAAATGCTAACAGTGTGATTTAGTAGAACTTGACATTTACTTCAGCCCTCCATTTCCCTACTGGCGTATAAAGAAAAACAGCTTGCTTTAAGGTCAGGTGATTATGCTTTTGTATCACTTTTTTACCCATGGAAGTTCATAGAATCATAGAAGGATTTGGGTTGGAAAAGACCTTAAAGATCATCTAATTCCAAACCCCCTGCCATAAGCAGGGACACCTTCCACTAGACCAGGGTGCTCCAAGCCTGTCCAACCTTACTTTGAACACTGCCAGGGACAGGGCAGCCGCAGCTTCTCTGGGCAACCTGTGCCAGGGCCTCACCACCCTCACAATACAGAGTTTCTTCCTAATGTCTCACCTACACCCTTTCAGTTTAAAGCCATTATGCCTTGTCCTGTCACTACATGCCCTTGTAAAAAGTCCCTTTCCAGATTTCTTGTAGGTCCCTTTTAGGTACTGGAAGCCGCTCTAAGGTCTCCCTGGAGCCTTCTCTTCTCTGGGGTGAACAACCCCAGTTCCCTGTTTCTTCACAGGAGAGGTGCTCAAGCCCTCTGATCATCTCTGTGGCCCTCCTCTGGATTTGCTCAAGTACGTTCACATCCTTCTTCTATGTGGAGCTCCAGAGCTGAACGCAGTACTCTGGGGTGTCATAAGCGTGGAATAGAAGGGGAAAATCACCTCCCTTGACCTGCTGGACCTGCTCCTTTTGATGCAGCCCAGAATATGGTTGGGTTTCTGGGCTGTGAGCACATGGGCTGGGCCATGTTGAGCTTCTCAACAACCAAAATTCTTGAAATATGTAGAATACCTGGGAGATAACTCAACCACAGGTAATAAGGAGACCTTCAGAAGATACACTGACTGATTCCCATTAGCCGTAAATGGGAAGTTGCTTTCTGTTTGCAGTAGAGGAGGGGAAAAGGAATAGCATATTCAGCTAAAAGAACAGGGGATGGGTTAGGCAAGCAGGGCCAGGGAGCTTTTTGATACAAATCCCTACTGCATTACCAAACCCAGGGCAGCAGTGCTGATTTACACCAGCAGATGAATATCAGACATGAGTTAGTTAGAATTCTGCCCAGACCATCTGTTACAAGATCTCTAAGCTTAAAGTTCCCTGGGGCTCTTCAATGACTAATAGTCAGTTTATTCACGGGTTTTATGCCTACTCCAAAAGACAACACACCACGGGGTTTGTAGAATATGGATACTCCTAACCTCATGCTGAGGTGTTGATTCATTACAGATTTGGCAGAGTATTGATTCATTTCACTGAATAACCAACAACTTTTCTTTAAGCACTCTAACAACTTCAACATCTCCTAGGCCATCTACTGTCCAAATACCTATTTAAAAACTGATCAGTTTCTGAGCTCAGCAGATGAACACGACAACTTTAATTCATCAACAAATACAGTCCATAAAAAAAAACTCTGTTCCAAATTCTAAAGAATGGATTAAGAATTTGTGTTTAGACCTACTGGGAGGTTGTTGAATAGATACCATAACTATATACTACTGAAGAAATCTTACTGTTCAGTATGCATTCCATGTCAAGTTCTAGGACAGATTTGAGCTGATACACGAAGAAAGTTTGAAACATACTTCATTTCATATAAAAAGAGTCATTATGGCTCTGGGATATCATGTCTTCCACATGGCACAATCCTAATATCATGGTTTAGACTCTTAGAAATAACTATGATAAGGAAGGCAGATAATCAGTCTTTCTGTCCAGGATGTCAGCATTAATTTGCAATACTGAGGAATCAGTCTGAGTTACTAAAGCATTATTTTACAGATATTAAAAAATACCTTTAAAACCCACATCGTTTATTTTAGATTGAGGACCCTGAGCTCATAACTACACAAGGACTTGTTACGTTACTAATCCTGGTGACCCAGATGAGTCATTGTACGACTGCAAACAGAGAATAGGCATTGTAAGTGCTCTATCAGTGATTTGATTTGGTCGGTAACAAAACAGCCCTGCAATTTGAAGGCTTGTTCATGACTCGCACCAAATGGATCGATGGTGTCAGTTCACTGCCTGGTAGACATGTGTCTAGATCCACTTTCATTATCCTTATGGTGCATCTGGTGAGTGAATTTCACTTCTGCCTGAAAAGAATCTGCCTGTCTGCAGACATGACACCCATTTTGTACTCAGTCATTGGCAGCCGATACACAGCTCTCTCATGGACCTTCATTTTCTCTCAGTTAACAGCCAAACACATAGTATAGCCACTATTAATGAATCAGAACCTAACAGTCTAACAAGATTCTTAATTTATTTTTTCCTTTAGTAACGGATGGATGGTAGGCATCACTATAATGGGAAGAATGCCCTTCTTCCCTTTACCTCCCAGTTGTGGGATCTGACACTGACACAGGAACAGGGGTTTTATGTGCCCTCTGTGGAACCCTCTGAAAATGCATACATGGGTTTCATGGCAGCTTGAGAATAAAAAATAAGAAAAGACCTGTGCCCAGCAGAAAAAACTGGTACGAGGCTGAGTTCAAAGGACTTCAGGACACTGGGACAAGCCACATTACTTGGAGATTGTCACGGCCAATCCAGATGTCACTGATGCAACACCTGACTTGGCAACATCTGGTAAACTTATCAGCAAACTCAGCAAGGAGGCTTATGGCTGAGCAAATACAAAGATAGTTCATTTTCACACACACAGAGGGAGTTTGGGGCATATCAGCAAGGTAGTAAGTCAGCACAACTCCCCTTAATGCTATGTCTACTTTTATAATAACTTTCCAGGTCTATCATTCCACGGCTTTGTGTTTAGGTCATGCTGATCCTCTGGCCTGTAAAGGAAAGAGCCATGTCCTTTGTACCTTACTGATGAATCCTCGCTGAATTTAATGGGGCAGAACCTTGCTGGTGTTTAAATCAACACAGCAAGAAGCCTCTTTACTAAACACAGTGCTGTGCCATGTAGGACAATGTGGATCAGTTGGGAGGAGGGAGGAGACAGACAGGGTAACCCCAAAAGCAGAGAGAAAAAATAAATCATTTTTCAGACTCTTGACTGATACCTGTGCTTCTCCCTAATGTTTTATTGAATTTCTTTACACTTTTCAGGCAAAAAGAAAGAGAGATGGAAAGCACTCACCCTTCCTTTCCCGAATGCAGAGAACACTTCTTCCAGAAGGCCATCAGGATGGTACATGACAGTGTGACACCCCTGTGTTAATTTAAAACTCAGTTGGTGATCTCAAGGCAAACTTAAGGCCACTTCAAATAAAGTGTGTGCATGTGTACATGTACAGTGGAAAAAGTCAGGGGGTTGTGTTAACAGCATTTTGCTTGACAGAGCCTTCGCATCCTAAGTACTGTGGCTGGTCCCTATTGTGCTTTTAATTTCCTTGCTTTCTGTTTTCTTAGGAGAACTTTTATTTTTCTACAATATTATTTTTCAGTTCTAATTTTCAAAGGTCTTTGCTATAAGGAGCTTTTTCTCTGCTAACACACTTGTGGGGGGCCTTTGGCTTTAATTTAACATTCCATCTGGGTTTCTGGGACATCGCTTTAAGGGTAGAATTCCCCCAGGGATAACAAATAATCCATTTTGTTCCCTTTAACATTTGTTGTATGCTGCCTTACTTTCAACCGAGCAGACACATTTAGTGACCATCACTGGCTACCTCTATCAGCAACTCCTCCACTCCCCCATCTCCAAACACAGAAAGTACAAAAAACAGACTTTGCTTCAGAGGTGGCAGTGGTGGGGGAGAGCGGTCAAGCCTGTTATTGCCAAAACACAGGACTTCAAGCCAGAGCTCAATGAAAACAAACAGGCTGCTGGAGAAGAAGGTGAAAAGTGAATCAAAGTTCTGCTGCCTCAGGGAAAATAATTTCACCATTTGTGTCATCTAAGCTTCTCCTCAGGACAGCACTAAGGCAGGTAAGTTCATCCTTACTGTGGAGAGCACTTAAGCATATGCTTAGAAGTGAGCAAACATGCAACTTCATTAAAGGCATTTCTTTCCATGGAAATCCAGAAAAAAAAGAATAGTTTGGATTGCGGTGTGAGAAGGGCCAATTTCTTCTACTTTCACATCATGCTGTATGCAGATCTATGGTTTAGTTAAGATCAGCTGAGTTACAGTTTATATTGGCTGTGTCAAAATCAGGCACAAGCTTATAACATCCATTTGTGAGTGCCTGACCTGAAAACAATGGGGAAACCCAGAAACCTACCTGCATCATCAAGCTTGTGTGCAAAAATAAAACCATCAGGTAGGGAAAACTGCTCCTGGGGGATGACCACAGAAACATGCCAGGATCGAGTGCTCCGTTGTGCTGAAGTGCCTGTAACAAAGATGATGTCAGTGAACACAGCTGAAGAAATGGCTCAGTCTTCCTTAGACTTTGGCCTGTACCACCAAAAAAGTGTAAGGCTTTTGTTGGCTTCAGGGTATATCGTGGGCCTGAAAAGCCTGCCTTGCAGAACAGCCTCCAATAGAAGGAAACCTATAAATCCTCTGACTCCATTTCACTTCATGGAGCCCAAATGCCTTGCAGGAGCCATTCAATGTGTTGTAAACAACTACAAAAATGAAGATGAGGCACTTTTAAACAAACCACATCACTAATCACCACCCACTGACAACGTCAGCCTAAGTGCAGCTCATTTCTTTAAAACCTCACCAAAAACTACTTGCAAATCTGTAGCTCCCATTGAAGGACAGCCGCTCAGAAGCTGTGGACAGGAAACCCATCTTTGGGCAGGACCTTCACATCCTCTCCTCAGGGCCAAATGCACGGACTTTGAACAACTAGGCGAAAGGCAGTGACCTTACTTGGTATGAGATACCAGGTGAGCTGGTCTTCTCTGGGGCTTAATTTTTTAATCAAGTTGGTTTTATTTCCTTGCTTTCCCCTAAAAGCCTTGCTGCGTTGCTGTCTGAGCTGGGAATCCAAAGCTGCCTTGTCACCACAGTCTTTTGGAAAGTAACTTTCGTGATGTAAAGCCTTCAGGCCTTTCCCTGAGAACCACATTTCTAGCAGATACCTTGGCAACAGACAGTGTCTTCATCTCATCCTTATAAGGCTTTAATCAGACTGATTTTTGAAAACACGGATTAAGCTCCATCTATGCTGTAAAGAAACCATTTTTCATTAAGCCATTTTCAACCAAACTGCATTCACTAAGGACACTAAATCATGTGAACAGAATATAAATCACTCCGAGGCTTTATAAATCATGTTGGTCACTGATAAAAAAAAAAGGAAGATTAAAGTACGCATTTGAAAATGAGCTTAAAAAGGCATCTAAAAAACTGCATCCCCATTGCCCAGTGCAGCTTCATTTAACTGGGCTAAAGCCTATGTAAGGCAGCAGGCTTTCAAAACAGAAGTAAAAATTACTAGAAGTGGTCAGGAATATCGGGACTAAACTCTTCTTCTCCCTCCCCCACAACAGAAAGAAAGCAGTCATCTGTCAAAACCGAAATTGATTGATGGCAGAGGTTTGTTTTCAAGTCCCTCAGCTTTAAAAACAAATCAGAAGAACCTCTGAATGATCAAGAATTGCTGTTTTGACATTTTTTAAAGTGAAAAGTTTTGTTTCCTAATTGAAGGAAACAAGCAAAAACCCCATGTTCCTTTTGTACTAAAAAGAGGCAACTGCTTAGAGAGGTCACAAGCAAAATATACTCTTTGAACATTATTAAAGTCAAATATTTAGTTTGGCCCCATCTTGATTTTATTTTGGAGATTTTCATCCAAGTTTTAAAAGGACCTTTCATCCCTGGTGGGACATAGGAAAAATACTGGAATTCTTGAATACCCCGATAGGGCGAGGAGGTTCATTCCCATCCAGGTCCACTGGAAGGGCACTCACTGTTTCTTGCCTCACTTTAAGATGGCTGAAAAATAGACATGAAGTTACTTGCTGGGCTGTTCTGGGTCTCAGACTTTATCTTAGACCTATTGCATACTGGCACAAGCATCTTCTATGGTAATAAATCAGGCCATATGTCTAAATGCAAATGTGAAATAAACTGGCTATAGTGCTACCCGTGTTGGCCACTGGCTAAGCTGGTATTGTTCTGTTGTTTTTTTTTCTATTAATACACCTTCTGAGTCCATTTTAAAGAGAAACTAACAAGTGAGCCATTGATTTACCATGGGACCCATTAGCAGCAGGCATTTAAATCTGCAGACCATTTACTTTAGCTGTATTATGGCCCTGCTGGTATCAATCACCATAACATCACAGTCATCAGCAGGGCTGCACCAATTTATATGATCTGAGGATCTGCCTTCTTACCTTTACAGAGGTATCTGCAGTAATTCAGCCTTGATTCTGAGAGGTTATTTGCAGCTGGACCCCTTGTAGAGCCCCACTGAAATAAAATTAGGTGAAGCAATTTCTAAGGCAATTTAAGGCCATTAAACATGACCAAAAAGTGATTAATATTGTTTGTGTGATTTACTGCCCTGGCTGAACACTGTTTGGTTGGAAATGACTTAGTCAAAAATGCTTTTACATACAGCAGGGAGAGGAATTAATCCATGCTTTCAAAGATGCTGATTTTAGCCAAATACGGAGGGTCAGATACAGACACTGATCATTACCAGTGTAGTGGCCTGATGTGTTCTTCTAAGGAAGAAGCACAGGTCTCATTGCACATCTAGCCCTGACCCCTCCACCTGTAAGCAGTGATGAAGAGTCGGGGCGTTGCTAAGGAAAACCCTCCACTTCTGCAGTGGAGACAGTTTGCGACGCAAGCAGACCCACAGCCACCGATCCTTGGAGTTGCTACAGCGGAGCATAAATTTCCCCCGTGGTCTCCCATCCTCAGCCTTTACAAAAGGAGGAATCTCACTTTGGAGCATCTCCATATGCACAGCTCCTTGTTAAAAAAGCAAAGAAAGTGCCTTATGTGTCGAAGGCAATAGTCACAATGCTCTCTAATGCAAATTCTGGTTTCTGTATGAGAGCGATGTGCAGAAGAACCCTTGAAAAGCTGCTTCTAATTGCTCAGGGTGTGCACCAAATTAAAAATCACCTGACTCAACAGTTCTCTGGCCTAGGTTTGTTTGCTTCCACTGCCAGATGGAACTTAGCGGCACCTGCTCACCTTCTGATTCAGAAGTGAGCTGGCAACACCTGTTCTGATTTAATTTGATGAAGGTAAATCACTGCACGTCCCCTAGCAGCAAGGATCCATTATCAGTAACTACATCATCTGCAGTGTACTAAACATTTGCTCTGAACACGCTTACAGGAAGATAAGCAAAATAATAGGAAGCATCTCAGTCAGCAGTTGCCAATCTGAATTCTTCCCTCTCTAGGAGCACCTAGCTGTGTGGGCAGGAGGGAGGAAAAGTAAGTTTACCTTCAGGCTTTTGAAACCTGTAGATGAATGTAGATGAGGAATCTGCGTTAATGGATGAGGACTTGTAGTTCCCCTCAAGAGGACATCTGCAGGAGGCAGAGGATATTTCGGGCTGCAAGAAAAGAAAAAAAGCTTATGAAGGTGGGACATCGAGCCAGAGCTGCATAAGTGGAAACAGGAGCTGACTCCTTTGGGTTGTGGGCGTTGTGGGGCACACAGCCATGCAGCTCACTGCTTTCGCATCAGTGGGTTGCAGGACCAGTGCGATTCCTGGCTCCTACTGGGTTTCTTGTCAGGATCTGAGGAATTCAAAAAACATCATGAGGGAAACAAAACCCTCTTTTGGCAGTGCAGGAAAATAGACCCAAAAGGTCCTCTGAAAGGAAATGCAGATTGTGTGTGGAAAGCAAAGGCTCAGCTTTAGAACAGTTTTCCGTTTTGAGTTTCCCAAAGCCTGCAACAATGCACAGCTAGTGCATTAGCAAGCAGAGTGAGGCTTGCCTTCTCCTAAGTAAGCCTGTTTCCCAACAACTACTCAGAGCACTGCTGCTTTTCCCTCTTCCTCACATCTCCCAGCTCCAGGAATGGCCAAATCCCTTTCAGAGCCAAGTACATCGCAGTTCCCACTCTTCACTTCGCCAGCAAACTCTGCCTCGTATTCTGCTTCAAACTCCATCCCCAAATCAGACAACAGGCCTAAAAAGTACAGAGCAGTGGCGTTTGCTCAGAGATGTGCTCCCCTGGGGAGCGCAGTGCAGCAGCCACAGGTATGCTGCACTGCTGGCCCTTGACACAGTCCCTAGACTTTCATTTCACTCCTGTTTCTACAGCTGTCCCAAAGATGCCCATCTGCATCAGGACGGAATAAAAGACAGTGCCGTTTTGCTTGCTGTTCACTACTTCCCATTTGACAGCTACCACTCCCTTTTTCTCTTTTCTCTTTTTTGTTTTATTACAGCTCAATTTTGCAAAGCTCAGCAGCAAAATTGCAACCAAACATAGTTCACGTAAGGGGAGAATTACCTCAGAGGCATTAAGAGAGAGCAAAAGCTTGCATCAGCTTTTGCACGGGCACAGCAGCTGACATATGGCACAATGCAACAAGCAACCAAACCCAGAGCTATTTGGCAGTGACCTACGCATCTGCTGGAGTAAGAACCAAAGCCTTAGGGCACAGTTGAAACCAAGCTAGGCTGAATGAGAAAAAGCAACTTCCCCGTTCTTTCTTACAGTGCATCTATGTGCAGCACAGCTAATTGCAGCGCGTTAGGAATGGGGCCATACCTATTACAACATGTTATAAAAAATAACTCTAAAATTACATTGTAGGGTTCTCTACCTAATGATGGATTAAATTTATTTTGTGTTCAAGTGAAAATGAGGGGTTTTATTAATATTTCCCCCTAACTGGTAGTCTGAAGATTCATTCTTGGGTCCCAAAAAGTCAAACCCGAACACTTCTGTTCTATATTTCTAGCAAGAAATGTTGCTTATACAAAACCTTCCCCCTAAGCAACACCAGACTGATACAGCAGGTTTGGGAACTGGGGAGTAAGAAGACAAATTTTAGTTTTAAAGGACTGAGGATTAGGATTTAGCAGTGTCCTGAAGGTGCAGAGTTAAAGAGAGGGGAAAATCAAGGTAATGCATCTGGGGAACATGGAACGAGGAATATGAATAAGGAACATGTTTTTTGCCACAATGATTTTAAGTGACTGGCAATGGTATCTGGAAAGGCAGACACTAGGGAGGCAGGCAGAGGTGAGAAAGTAATTTGAAATGCATTGCCATAGAGATCTGAGATGCACTGATGCAGGGATAACACGAAGTGGATGTGAGAGAAGGGCTGTTGCGATACCAGTGGAAAGCAAGAGGTAAGGAATGCCACAGGAGAAGAGGAGGAGTGGAAAAGAGGGTAGGCATATGGTGGGAAAAGGCTGAAGGACAGTGATTTGAGAAGGGAAAAGTATCTGCCAGTACTAAGAGTGATAAAAAAGTTCAAGGATGAAATAACCTAAACAGGCTGTCCTCAGAGCACGTTTGCATGAAGTGTTTTGTGCCTGGCTTGTGTCATCAGGAGACGTAATTCAGTCGCACGCTTTCTGTCACAAAAGGGCTGAAACTGTAACATCTATTTTCCAATTATCACTTATGATTGAACTACAAGCAACACTTCCCTCCCATGCTGAAAGAAGCTGCAAACAGTAGTACGGGTGTTACTCCATTTTCCTCTGAAATTATAATTCTCTTTTGAATGGTTTGTGGTTTCTTCAGTGTCTTTTGGTTTGGGGGTTTTTCCCCTTTTTTTCTTTATTTGGAAGAAAAGTCTGCTGACTTGGGTGGCATGACTTGAGTGGGTTCCTCTTTTCTCTGAAGGTCTTGCACTAAGACACCAAACCAATTCACACTGGGAAGCACATACAAATGCAAAGCAGGATGAGGCAGTGGTTGAAAACTCCCCTGTGACAGGATGGTGACGACACAAGAGCAGGAAGCTGCCAGGAACTTCACAGGTTAAGTCTTAGAAGCACAATGAGGTAAGAGAAGTTGCTGCTTCCAATAGTGTGAAGTCACTTGAAAGATGCAGAAACTTCCAAACTTGGGAACAATGGGTTCCTGGAGGTGAACGATTCATAGCAGACAGAAAGAATTCAGGAAGAAGAGAGTAATTTCCTTTGGGAGGTATTTCAGTGAAATTGGCCCAACTTCATAAAACCCAGGAAGCTATGGCTTTTCTTGCAACAAATCTCCGTCACACCAAATCAGTCAGACCTAAGACCAAGTAAAAAGTTACAATGCTAGGAGAAATATCCCTTGTTGGGCAGCCAACTCACTTCTAGGCCCCAAAGGACAGCAAAAAAGAAAGTATAACTTAGTGCTGAACTCAGCCAATACAACAGCATTTTGAGCTAGCTCAGGAAGACCCAAGTCAGCTTTCAGTAATTTCTGGCTATAAGCCCTGTTATTTGGAAGTCTGCAGAAGAAAAACCCCAAAGAGCCTACCATCGGATGAAAAGAGAAAAGAAAGCCCAGATGACTACAAGTAAAGCCCACTGGTAACCACGTAAACCCTGACTCTGAAGTGTGAAACTTCACCGTCACTTCAGAACATCATGCAGAAAACCCCTAGAGGAATCCAAGGAAGAAGGGTGTGCTCATCATCACCACCTCTTTGTCTCACACACACACACATGCACAGACATGCACACTAATACAGGTTTGTATACATAAGCACTTCTGATTCCTAGGATCAAAACAGGTACAGAATGGTAGCAAACCCTTAATTCCTCAGCGCAGAAAGATGTCCACATGTAATCTTGAGCTACTGCACCCTTCAGCGAAGCACTGGTCAGACAGTGAGACTTTACGAATAACATCTACAGCAGAGAACCTTAGGGAGGAGCCCATCACACAGCAGTGCAGAGCCACTGCGTTTCTCAGTAATACAGATCAGAGAGGACATTGTTTCTCTGACCTTCTCAGAGATGTATGTAGGTGAGCAACCATCAGTACCATTTTACAGAGATAGACATCCCCACAAATATTGCAGTGATCAGGCAATCACTGATATATCGGGGTGTAAGAGGCAAGTCTAATTCACTAGGTCATGTGGTTTTTGTATACATCAGGCTTTCCCTTGTGAGTCTGTAAAAACAAGTTGCAGACTACTCAACACCACCCCAACGCTCTCAGTGATTGCAAGAACGGGGTACACATTTGCACTTAATTACGGTCTGTTTTCTTCAGTGATGCTGGGACTCTGGCAAAAGACTGTTGTGCTGACCGCCTTCTCCAAACCAAACACTTGAGAGACCCTGGGAAAGCTGCAATGAAATTGCCTCATTGGAGGCTATGATATCCTATAATACAAAAACATAATTTCATAGTAATTACATATATTACGTAACACAAATCACTTCTCCATCAGGTACAGAAAGCTATTCCTGTTATTAAGTGCAGCAGTTTGGTTCGATTTTTTACAACCCAGTGCTCTCCAGAATGAGCAAATTAGGTTTGGCTTTCTACAGGATACAATTATAGGCTTCAAGCAAAAGAGTCCGATGCGGGATTCAACAGTATGTCTTTGTAAATTATACTCTGGGGTTTGCATTTACTCTCAGTTTGGTGGGGTGAGAGGTAAGAGGCAATTGCACTGAATGGGACTTGGAGGAAACATTTCAGTAAAAAAAATACAATGCGGGAAAAAGTTCCATATGATTCAGAGCGCAGGCATGTGCAGAGTTGAACAGTGACAGGCAAAAAAAATGGGGGAGAATGAGGGAATAATCTAGCTATTTTTTGTGGGCTCCAGTTAGTACAGTACGATACACTCCGGAGATGAGAGTGCATGTGTCCGTTTCCTGATGACTGTATTTGATGCTGCAGCTAATAGAAAAGAAACAGATGTAGCCACCAAGAGGCTGGGCCACCGCACCGGCTGACATGATTTGCAATATTAATATATCTATATGGAGAAGTCTGCTCATTCAGTGTAATCACCCTTGTCTTGATAAGTTCAGTCACTATCCAGGTTTTTCTAACCATTTTTGTTTCTTTTAATTGTGCTCACCCTTCCCTGCCCCATCCTGACCTGGCTGTGTTTGGAGAACAAACACTTCTTTTGCATTTAGACTGTGAAGCCTAACAAGCATCTTCATTAAAAACAGTAAGGTATTGTTTCTCATATTGTCAATGGCAATGGGGAACACAGACCATATATTGCATTACTCAGTTTTCCATTTGGTCTCCCTACAGCAAGCAGGACTGGATGGGGAAGCAAGCAAAGCAATAAGCAAGAGCTTTTTTATTTTTTTCTTTTCATAGTTGGATGGTCTTCAGACACCTGCTTCATGTACCTACTGATGTGTGTTCCCTCCAGCCTCCTAATACCTGGTAGTCTAGAAATGATACCCACGTCATCCACAGCATCTATTTTATTCTCTAACCATAAATTATCGTTTCATCAGATGTGACCCTCCGTTAGATATGTCTCAACCTTTACACTTCACATCCCCAGCCTTTATCAATGCTATTCTAAAGGGCAGGCATATTCAATTTAATAGTCTTTTTACTTTTCCCTTCATTTTTCTATCTTTTGTGACTTAAACAATCAATCTTCTCTTTTTTGCCCATATTTTACTTGAGAACTTCTGTTTTTATTCTTGCTCCTGCCTGTGTCTCCTTTGTCTCTAACAACCTGTCAGCAAATAGCACCTTCTGTGTTGACACAGCTCTTTCCCTTCTGATGGCAGACCAAAGGCATTAGTGTAACAGCTCTGCCCTGGAGTCAGGGGAAGGGGGTTGTCACCTCCAGAGTAGTGACTTGGAAACAGATAAACTGCTCTGAGGAACTGGGACTGCTGCTCTTGCACCAGCGCTTCAGGATGCCTCCCCAGATCCCAGCTACCTCATCCTAAAACCCACCCTCATGTCTGTGTGTCCGTCACAGCTGGTTAGGATGGCATTGCAGGATGACAGGTTAGAATGACTTCTCCGGTATGGTAGTAACACCTCCCCCTCTGACACTTCCTTGCACACACATAAATGTAATTTCTCCCCCGAACACCCCTGTGAGCAAGGAACTGTGACTGCTGAGCGTGACAAGTGGGATCCCAAAGCTACTTCCTAATTTAAAGCCCATCACAATAAAAGTGGTAGAGGCCAGCTGAGGTCCTTGTAGCTTGCTGGAAATACAAGTAAGCTCACCTCTACCCCCACCTCCCCACTCCTCACCAGCTATACCTGCCACACAGAGATACTCCCCGAGCCTCTGAAGTGCTGAGTGGCTCTTCCCACGCTGGTCCCCTTCACTTTGCATCACAGGAAGCTAGCACAGCGCTGAACGATGGAGAGATTTTTCTTTCAGTGAAGACACTGCTTAGATGAAGAGTTGAGAAATATGATTTCTCCTCTTCCCTCTCTTGTTTGTACTTTCTCCCCCTAACAAAAAAAAAGGGTCATTTCTGCACCCTCTGCAGTCAGTAGGGATTTTATTGTGGAGCTCAGTCACAATATGGCTTGTAAATACAAAATGCCAGCACGGATCTGTCAAGACTCTTCCTTGCTGCATGACACCTAGCTCTCTGTTCCCTCCCCACCAATCCCCTGCATATTCCGTTCTCGTGTCTCTCCAGGCCAGCAAGTCAATCACTGCTGCTGCCCTGCCAAAGCACTTCCCCAGGTGTAGCTTCCCTCTGCACCAGCTTTGCCCAGTATCACCCTGCCTCTGCTGCCACCTCCTGCAGAAGGGCATTAGGAGGGGGTGACACCACTCAGCACATGCTGATGGAGGCCGGGAAGGGAAGCACATCATCCCAGAGG